CCGTAACCTAGGCACTTTTGGCACCTAGTTACTTCAACATGCTCACGAATTGGAGCGTTTATTCAGCCGATTTTGATCCTACCAAGCTGTAGCAGAATGTTACTCTCTGCCTCAGCCATGCGGACCAGAGCGACCTTAGTACCTCTAAAGCGCGTCAAAAGGTGGCACTCCATCTTCAGGTCGGGCTTGCCTAGCTTATCCCTTAGAACTGAAATCACCTCATCCTCCGTCGTGGCTTCATCCAGTTCCTTGATCTCCAGAGACTTTTTATTCAAGAGAGCAGTAACCTCACATGGCAAGGCGCCATGCAGAGCCGAGGACAGTGCTTCCGCAAACTTCAAGGTATCTCCACCCTTTTTCACTATTACAAGAACCTCCTGTTTAAAGGTTCTCCTAATTTTTTGAATCACGGTACCAGAGTCTTCTGGTTTAACCTTTGATTTTATCAGCGGCAAGATACTCTCATAAGACTTTGGGTCTCTTGCTGTGATCTTTACCGCTTCCGTGGTTCTAAGCTTCAAAGGGTGTTTTGAGAGCTCTTTTTCCTCACTTGGGGTCTTTTTCCTTGGAGCCCGATTCCTCCTCCCTTTAACAACCTTAAAGTCATCCCCTTTTTCCGTTCCGTCTTTCAAGACGGTCTCAGCATACGTCTGGCTGGGACTACTTGAGGACGCCTCTTTTGCTCCAACTAGCGACTCAGAATCAAGCTGTGGAGCATCCTTTCGCTTAATTCTCTTTTCGCTTTGAGCCGTTTCTTGAGGACTCTTATCCGGGCTTCCGCCTTCCCTGGGGCGCTTGCTCACCTTCTTTCCCTTATTACAATCTGTTCCTACAAATTGTATAGAACGCACTCTCCAAAACCGCCACGCCATCCTGGATGTCACAACTGACGTTCTTTTGGCGCTTGAATGCCTGGTGCACGCTCTTGAAAATTCCGGGAATAGCCAGGATACTTGATTTTTATTAATTATAATATTAAAAAATATGTATGAGAAATTATTTGAAATTAAAATGGAATGCGATCAACTTTTTAAAGATTATAGTTTTGTCAAATTGTTTATTGCTTTGTTCTTCTTAGGAAAATGTGTTGAATTATGCATGTTGAATTGTGTACACGAATAGCTCGAGCATGATCTTCAAGGTGCAAATTTCACGCGAATGAACGATATGAAAGTTTTTCTTCTCATTTTATTCATGAAGAAATGCAAATTAATATTTTAATTTTTTTTTTCTTAAATTTTCGCTATTATTATTTTTATTCTACTATCCATTTAAATATTCGGGAATATATTTTTCGTTTTGATATTTAAAAATTATCTAATAAATAATAAATTGATAATATTAATAAACTAGCTGTCGGACCCGTCTTCGACTGGTTTTAGTTTCGGCTAATACATTTGATAGGGTTTCTACCAACCGGGAAATAGCCGGGAATTAAATTTTACTGGGAAAAACGAATAATTAGTTACCATTAACTATTTCGTGAGGAAAATATTACTATTTCAATCAGTGACAAACTTTTTTCTATCAAATTTGTTATTCAGGAACAGTAGTTGTCAACTTGTAGTACTATGTGCGTTTGTAGTACTGCAATTAATGTATTAAAAATTAATCCTAAATTTACACCAGCTTTTGGAGTCAAAGAAGAGTCTAATTATAAATAATTATGTCACAATTAGACAATTAGACAATAAAAATTAAAGTAAAAAGCAGTTTTTAAAATCAAATTAATATAATAAAACTTTTTTAATTTGATAAGAAAATTCCCGGTTTTTCCTGGTCAAATTAAACTCCCGGCTATTTATCGGTCCCCCGCGCAATTGGTAGACACTCTGTCAATTCTATTATGGTAAACTAAATCCCGTCAAAGACTGGTACTGGTATATAACATATTTTCTTAAAAAAGAGTATTTTTATAAAATAAAAATAACCCCAAAAATACTACTGAATTAAACTTGATAGTAATTAATAACAATTATAATTTTTTGATTTTTTGATATGGAAAATATTTTTATACTTACATCTTAGTCATATAATTTTTTGTGCAAAATTATGCTAAAATATGACTAAATAACATGTAACACTCAATTATACAGAGTTTAAAAGCAAATCATCAAAACATGTAAAATTTGTGATTTTTAAAATTTTTTGAAAACATTTTTATACTTAAATTTTAGTTATAGGACATTATTTTTTCCAAAATTATGCTAAAAAGTGACTAAATAACATGTTATGATTAATTATAGCTAGTTTAAAAGCAGTCCATTAAAAAATATAAAATTTGGAAATTTGCGATTTTTTGAATTTTTCGAAATCATTTTTATACTTACATCTTAGTTATAGGACAGTATTATTGGAAAAATTATGCTAAAATTTGACTTAATAACATGTAATACTCAATTATAGATAGTTTAAAAGCAGTCCATTAAAAAATATAAAATTTGAAAATTTGCGATTTTTTGAATTTTTCGAAATCATTTTTATACTTACATCTTAGTTATAGGACATTATTTTTGGCAAAACTATTCTAAAATGTGACTAAATAACATGTTATACTCAATTATAGAAAGTTTGAAAGCATTTTTAAAAAAATGTAAAATTTGAAAATTTTTGGTTTTTGAATTTTTCGAAAAAATTGAATATCTCCCGTTCTAATTAATATTTTTCAAATCTGTAAATTTATAAACCTTTCTTGGCCCAAGGTCTAACATTCTGCCAAATTTGGTTTCAAATGGTTCAACCGTTTTTAAGTGATGCGCGAACAAAGATTCTGTGACATAAGCGACACACACACATACATACATACATACATACATACATACATACATACACGAAATTTTTTATTGGTATATTTGGAATCCTTGATGCCTAAAACGAATAATTATGTGCGAAATTTAAAGTTCTGAGCAATGTACAGACAAAAGTCTGATTTTATATATATATATATATAGATTATTTTATTTATTAATTTTTTATTTACAAGTATGATCAGGACTGTAGCCTAAAATTAATAAATAATATTAGAATAAATTAAATAAATTAATAAATCATACAATGATAATTAAAAAATTGAATTTTAGAGGTAAAATTAAATTTAATTAATACCACAATACAATATTTTTCTAATATTTATTTTTATACTTGTTTCCGACTTTTTTGGAAAAATTAATTATGATGGACTCAATAGTCTGAAGATATTTTAATTTAATCATAAATTTTAATCATAAAAACAATTTTTTTATGTTTATTATCTTAAGTTATTTTTATACTGAGTTTTCAATCTTTTTCATACAAATCTATTAGAGTCACGAGGTTTGCATTATTGCGTCTATACCCTCATCCTCGTGGGCGATGATATTTCGTCACGATTAAAATATTGAGCTACCTGACTATTATATTTTCAACTTACTTATTTTAGAAAAAAAAAATTATTGTTTCATAAACCTCAAAAGATAATTTTTACTTCTACTTATTAAATTTTTGAACTTTTGTCCTTAATCTATTTGCATAATTTATATTTTCTTCTCCCTAATATTATTTACATGCACTAAAAATGAATCATAATTGCAAGAAAGAGAAATTAAAATATTGCGAAATTGTCTTTTCAAAATATTTACCTACTTTAGAATTATTTTAATTGTTTTATATGAAAAGTGTATTTTTTTTGTAATACATATTTATTAGAACAAGAAAAAATTGTTCTCTCTCTCTCTCAAAATCATAAATCATTTTTCAATCAAAAATACTAGAATTCGATTAATTTATTTAAAAAATATTTGTAATATTTCAAGAGAGACATAAGTTTATTGTCTAATTTGAATAATTAAAATTTAATCATAGTGAAAAGGATTTGATATTTTTGGATTTTAAAAAATTTTCTAACGAGCGATAGTGGAATGTTAATTAGACATGAGAATCAATTAAATATTCGGTATTAAAATGATGTCTAATGACTGTAAAACTGTAGAGTTTGCACATCTTTTAGATAGATACGGGATTGCACAGAGGACAATTGAATTATTAGCGGCAAACAAATAATTATACGACTTCTCTTTTCCTTCGAAGATGAAGTATAGAAATCCGGTTCCGGGTATACCATTATTCGTTAGGAGAGAAAAAAAACCATTCTAAAAGAATTAAAACTAATTAATTCAAAGTAAAAAATTACTAGAAAAAATTGTAAAATATTAAAAAATAGTTTTAATTTCGTTTTATAATTTATTTTCGAGAAAAATTTTTTATTGGCAATTTTAATTTAAAAAAATGAAGTAAAAAAATAATTTTGTATAAGTATGTACGTGATAGAGAAGAAGAAAATTATAATAAATTATGAAGTAAAATGACATTTGCTTTCTATAAATTAAACTAGTTGAAGTTAACATCCCTCAGGTTATTTTAACCTTTTAAATCATCATCGGTGTTTTTATTATTAAATAATAAGTGTCGTCATGTGACTTAAATCATCGAGATTAAAATCATGTCAAGCCAACTAGGCTCGAGAGGATTCTATTCAAATGACGTGATGATGATGATGATGATAATGATGATGCTAGACAACAAACCATAGGCGTAACAATATTTTGTATCATCCTCTAAAGTTTCAACGCGTGATTTAAAATTTTTATTTTTCTGGAAAAAGTATTCGACAATCGAGAAATAAAAAAAATACTCTTTGTTTGAGATGTGCGTTAAAGTAGGCTAACAAATCCATAAGATTTGTAATATATTTTCAGCCTTATTATAAAACGAAATTTTATATGTTTCCACGCATCATTCTATTTTTTCATATTTAAAATAAAATACGATTTCGTAATTTTTAGCCTAGTTATGAAATCAAGTTTTATAGCGGGTTTTTTTTTATTTTCTAGATTCAATAAAATGATTTCATAATTAATATGTTAAATATTTTCTTTGTTCTTCTTTCTATTTCATTTTAATGATTCTTAGTTTGAACAGGTTTGAATGTAAATTAAAATAATAAAATTATTTTTAATTTTCAGATTACTTTCAAGGATATTATTGTTTTCGATAATTAAAAATTAAGGTGGAGCTTTTCTTTGTAAAGTATCTTACGCCAGTGTTGAATGAGCTTCTCAGGTTTTCTCATGATGCAGGAATCGACCTTTCCTTGTAGAACATTCACCCGCGCAAGAGAAGCTGAACTTCAATATTGAGAATATTATTATTTTCTCTGAAGGAGATTCGCTTCATCAAACAGCTATGTTTCGGGCCCAAATAAGAAAAAAAAACACCATTGTGCTTAAAATACAAAAGAAAAAAGAATTCATTCGTTCAGAATTTTTTATTTAAGCCAAACAGGTAATTATGACGTAATGAAGAAATACCAACAAAATTTTGTAGATAAAAGAATATCTTTCATAAGTTAAAAATATACTAATAATTTCTGATTAATGACATAATAAAGAAGAGAAAAAAATACTCGCCTGGCTTCTGTGCGTCAATAAAAAAAGAAATATAAAGAAGATCCAATATGAAAGATGAAATCGGTTTCCAAATTAAAGACACGAATTCTGAATCTATATTAAAATGTAGAAACTTAATGAGGTGAGTGAAAAAATATTTTTTCTGTTTACAAAAAAAGTTACTTTTATCTTTTTTGGTTGAAAATGCAAAACATTTTTATTGCTTTCTTCATTTTTTAAAACAAATTTTATTTTTGTGTTTACAAATATGACGAATTTTTTTAAATGTGAATATGCAAAGGTTGAATTATAAACTAGGTTTGAATTTAAAAGTAAAATAATTTAGTCTAATGAATAAATTAAGTAATTGCTTAAAATAACTATTAAGTAATTGCTTAACTTCAAAATTTATTGGAAGTCAGTCTTTAATTTAATATTTTACACTTTAATAAATTGACATTAAAAATATTTCTCTATCGATTTACTATAGGTTTTCTCTTGTTGACGTTGTTTATTTGATCTTTAAGAGTAATGTAAATTTTAATTATGAGTTACCAACGTCTGTTCCTTTAAATCGTGACGTAAATCTAATTCTAAAAAGGGAATATTTTTAAGTAAATCATTAATATTTTTTAAAAATTAAAAAAAATTCTTTAAAACAGTTCAATTATTTAAAAAAATTTAAATAACATTTTCCGAAAAAATTCAATTGCTTTTAATCAATAAATTTCTTTGGGAAAATTAAATCATTTTTAATACACAATTTTGAATTTTTGATACGATTTCTATAAATTTCTCGAATAAATTTAATGTATTATTTAAAAAATGTTTTTCTAACTTTTTGCAAAAATTCAATTCTTTTCATAAAAATAACAAATTTCTTCAGAGGAATTCAATTATTTTTAAAAATTTTAATAAATTTCTCAAAAGAATTCAATTACTTTTTTTAAATTTTCATAAAATTCTTCGCAGAAATTAAATTATTTTAAAAAAATAATAAAATTTTTTGAAAGAATTCAATTATTTTTAATACAATATTAATTAAATTCTACGAAAGAATTTAAATAACTTAATTTTTTTTTAAATCTTCACAAAAATTCAATTACTTTGAATACAATTTGAATAAAATTTCTCGAATGAATTCAATGATTTTCATAAATTTTAATAAAATTTCTCTTAAGAATTCGATTATTTTCAAAAATTTAAATAAAATTTTTCGAAACAATTAAATTATTTTCAATACAGTTTCAATTAAATTTCTCGAAAGAATGTGATTATTTTTAAATATTTATAATAAATTTCTTTGAAACAATTCAATTATTTAAAAAAAGCTCAATAAAATTCTATGCAAAAATTAAATTATTTTAGAGACGAAATTTTAAGATTTATAAAAATTATAACATTTTTAAAACAAAAATGTTACCACCCACATAGCACAGTATTTTTCGTCAAATTCGCCATGCAAAGTTCGCAAGTTGTTTGCAGCAAACTTACATACATATAAAAATGTCACCCTCTTGGCAAGTTTGCACTGCAAGTTTGTAGCAAACTTGCGTCAAATATTAAAAACTTAAATGTATGCGCAGTAGTTTTCTATTACATCTAGAGTTGCGCACTACAAACTTGCCAAGAGGGTGGACATTTTTATAGAGCACCTGGATCGTAGAAGGGGACGTAAATTTTTCTCGGCCGAAATCGAAATCCCCTGGACACTCAAAATTCAACTTCTGAATTTAGACATTTTAAATATGGGTGATTCTCCGCGTAGCGCAGAACTTGCTTTCTTCATGTTGTAACGGAAAAATAATAAATAATTTTCATATATTTTTACAATTCCAACGTGAAAAGGTTATCTATACAGTACCGTCCGAAATTGTCAGTCCACCCATTTTCAAAGGAATGACAAAAATTTTTTAACATAAAATTCATGAAAAGTAAAATTTTTTTTGGTTTATATTTTGAAAGACGATAAAATTTTGAAAAGAATAAGACCTTACAGAAGTCATTTGGCCAAAATTTGTAGAAGATATTCTTAAAAATCGTCATTTTCAATGTTTTACAAAAATTTGAATAACTTCTAAAATAATGAATGCTTTTTAATAATCTTAGGCTTATTTTAAAGACCATTTTCTACAGAATAAGAATTACTTATAGGCATTAACCTGTAATTTTTAACTTGGAATAAGCATGACGTCAAAGTTGGACAAAAAAATTCAAAAAATTTGAAATAATATTATTAAAAGAAAAATAATTTTTGAAATTCAAACATATATTTTTATTAAATTTTCTTGAAAAATCTACACCATATCATGTTTTATATATGTTCTAGAATAGTTTTTAGTACAAAAAATTGATTTCAAATTTTTCCAATTTTTTTGTCTAATTTTGACGTCATGCTTATTCCAAGTTAAAAATGACAGGTTAATGCCTATAAGTAATTCTTATTCCGTAAAAAAAGCCTTTTAAAATAAGCCTAAGATTATTAAAAAGCGTTCATTATTTTAAAAGTTATTCAAATTTTTGTAAAACATTGAAAATGACGATTTTTAGGAATATCTTCTACAAATTTTGGCCAAATGACTTCTGTAAGGTCTTATTCTTTTCAAAATTTTATCGTCTTTCAAAATATAAACCAAAAAAAATTTTAGTTTTCATGAATTTTATGTTAAACAATTTTTGTCATTCCTTTAAAAATGGGTGGACTGACAATTGCGGACGGTACTGTATGTTTAGAAACAAAAACCAATAATTACTTTTGTATCTAATATTATAATTTTTCATAAATAAGCGGTTTTAAGGCTAAAAACGTCGAAATTTAACCTGTCCCCACAGGAAGTTTAGAAAAAAAAGTTAATAATTTTAGTAATATGCAATAATAAATACAATTACTATTGACATTTTAGTATCGTCTACTTTAGTACAGTTGAATAAAAAAAATTAAAAAAAAAAAATTCATTTCATATAGGTTTTTTTCAGTTTATGCTTGTTGCGAAAAAAATAGAAAAATAAAAAAAGGGTGGGATCTTGGATTGCGAATAGAGAAGGGTCGACAATAAACGGATTCGTCGATTAATTAAAAAATGTATATTTCCTTTTAACCTTTTGGTTTTCACAAACGTAGAATTTAACAGCGTAAGAACTTACAAAAAAAGAGTTGAAAATTGAATAGTATGTTGCACGTGGCGAATGGCGTCGTTGAGACTAGAGGTTCCCACGTGGCAAAAATGGCGGCAGGTGACGCTCACGTCAGCACAGGTGACTCTCAGCTCCACTCAGCAAGACGAGAGAAAAGTAACTGAGCTGAGCAGTTTGGCGCCGACATCGGAAAAAGAGGGGGACAGGATCTGGGCGGAACCTTTGACACGTCACGAGAGCGATCGACCAATCCCAGACTAGACATAATGAACAAGAGGCCAAAAAGGAGAAGAATAACGAGAAACAACGAGAGCATCCAGAATTGGACTCTCCCTAACAGAAAAAACCATAACAATGCTTGACAGCAAATTTGGATGCTATTCATTATTTTATTAACAAACAGTAAATTATTTAAATGAAAATCAAATGTTAACTTAAAATTACTTTTGTAAACACAAAAAATAACTTCCTTAAGTTAATTCAGGAAAAAGAATCAATGTTCTAATTGATTTATTCATTTTTCACTCATTTTAAGTTGGAAATTTGATAAGGGAATCACAAAATAATCTCCACCGACCCTTAAATATTTTACCACAAATTAAACAATTATTTATAAAAAAGGTTAAATAAAGCGTAGTTATATTGTTTTGGTCAATACGAATGAGATCCACTTTAAACCGATTGAAAATTAATGATACTTCTTTCAAAAAATTAAAATATCCAAAGTCGGTTGAAAAAGTTCTCACCAGCCTGAGTTTCCACCGACCTCAGAATTTCCACCTACCTTCGTAATACGAAGAACCTAGTGCAAATGTAGTGTTATGGTGCCACATATATAAGGAATAAAAAAAACCTATAGCTCAGGAAAGTTTACTATAAATTACTTAAATAAATTTCCATAAATTACCACGAAAATTTTTATAAATTACCGCAAAAATTTCCATAAATTACCGAAATAAAAATTTTCAATTGTGATTTCTACTTTGCACATTTTTAAAAATTACGGACAAAATTTCTTTAAATTACCTTACAAATTGCCATAAATTACCTTATAAATTTCCATAAATTACCGCGAAAATTTCCATAAATTACCAAAATCCAAATTTTTAATAATAATTGAAATTTTACATATTTTTATGAATTATCGCGAAAATTTCCATAAATTACCAAAATAATAATTTTTAAATGAGATTTACGCTATAATATTGTTTAAATTACCGCAAAATTTTTTTTGACAGAATGTGTCCAAACAGTGAATTAGTTAATTACTACACTTGTTTACTACAAAAATTATAAATAATTTTTCCGGCCCGCTATGGATGTTTCTTTTTAAAGCCTTTATCTTCAAAAAAATATATTGATAATAACCATAACAATAAAAAAATTTTTTTAAATTTCATAAACCAAATCGTGCGCTAAGCGGAGAATCACCCATATACATCTTTATAGAAAATTTCATTGCGCATATTTTTTTTTTATGAAATTTTTTTGTATCTATTACCGTTTTCGAAATATTTGAGAAAAATTGATTTTTTGAAAACTGCAAATTTAATGACATTTTTCACTTCAACTCGCGATATTTCAGATGATTTTAAATATTTTTCAATGTACCAAAAAAGAAAATACGTCTAAAGATATTCTACTAATGATAAAAAAGGAAAAAAATTATTTTCTTTATAAACAAAATTGTTATTAATTTTTTTCTTTATTAATGTAAAAAACATAAAATACAATCTTCTCGGCTCTCGTTTAACGGGCAAATTTTAAGTAACAAAGAACTTTCAGTGAGAAAGTTGTTCATTATGGACCAAAGAAGTTTTCTGGAAAATCACAGGGTTAATAATTAATTAGTGTTGTATGAAACGAC